CAGGTGCTGCAGATGTGTGGGGTGGGGAGCGAAGGCCACCGGGGGGAGGGGCTGGAGGGCGAGGGCCCACCCGGCCCAGAGCGCCTGGAGGAGAGCCGGGCCGAGGGCAGGCATGGTCACCTGGCGGGGGAGAGGGGGCGCAGGGCTCACACGGCCACCTGAGTACCGTGCGGCCACCGGTGAGGGACAGGGCTAGGCCGATGCCAGGATGCCCTCCCAACCTTGGCGGTGAGCAGAGGCACCGTGGTCCAGGCGGAGCCCAGCCCACATACTGACAGTCCAGCACGGGCAGGTCTCCCCTGGAAGCTCCAAACTGCCCGGTCCCTGCCAGCACTGCCCTCTCTGGAGACCCTGCCCCGCCCCCTCACGCCTGGGTCACCACCACCCATCCCCAGGGACAGAGCCTGGGAGGGGCAGGAGAGCGCAGGGGATGGGAGGGGTGCCCAGAGCCCAGAGGAGGGCCAGGCCCCCTTCACAGCCAGCAGTTCCTGGGCAGCAGGAGGGAGGGTGCCGCCCACGGGCCACTGCATGTTGGGGCAGAGCGAGGCGGGGGCAGGGCTGTTCAGGCAGGAATCCAGGAGGCCATGAGCACAGAACCACAGGCTGGAGAGGAGAGCGGGGCGCGGGCCGCGGGGAGGAGGCCTGAACCGGAAAGGCTGGGCCCTGTCCCCCGGAGCACCCCGAATCGAGGTGGGAGTCACGCGTCTCCCAGATGCCTGGGGGAGGGCAGGCTCACCTGGCAGGGCCGGCTGGGTCAGCAGACAACAGCATGACCTGCAGGAGTCACCTGGCCGGGGAGAAGGCAGGGCGTGAGCCAGCATGTGGAGGCAGCACACGGGCCCCTTCCCCTGCCCAGCCTGCTGGTGGAGCTGGGCCCGGCCTGGCCCTCGGCCACCAAACACATTCCACAGGGACGGCGGGGGGGGGGTGGGGACCGGAGCCCTCGGGGCCTGGGAAAGGGCGGAGAGGAAGGAGCCCCGTGGCTGGCAGGCCCCGTGGGACCCAGCGCAGCCCCTGCTCCCTTCTTGGCACTCTCCATCCTCGTCCTCTGTGCAAACGCCACCCATCCAGGCCCCAGGCACACACCTCCGTGCCGGGCTGTCCGGGCCCACACCCCACAGCTCCCTGCAGACACACGCTCACACACACCAAGAAGCCACCCAGATGCTCACACACACACAGATGCTCACACACAGATGCTCACACACACAGATGCTCACACACACACAGATGTGTGCAGATACCATCTGTGCACACAGAAACACAGGCGCACACACCACCCCCACTCAGCCACCTGTACAAAGGCACATCCACATGGAGACGACCTCCTAACACACAGAAACACACACGTTGCACCTCACACAGGCACATGTCGCACCACATACCAAAGGCATGCTCACATCCAGACACCCCGCAGACACACGCACACGTCCCTGGCCGAGGGCGCTGGGGCCAGGCCATCTCCTGCTATTTCCCCTCCAGCAGGTCAAAGCAGGGCCAGGGCCTGGTGTGGAGAAGGTGGGGGTGGGGGATGGATGTCCTAGGACAGTGATGGCGGACCTTCTGAGCTCGGCGTGTCAGCATTTTGAAAAACCCTAACTTCACTCTGGTGCCGTGTCACATATAGACATTTTTTGATATTTGCAACCATAGTAAAACAAAGACATATTTTTGATATTTACTTTATATACTTAAATGCCATTTAACAAAGAAAAATCAACCAAAAAAATGAGTTTGCGTGTCACCTCTGACACGCGTGTCATAGGTTCGCCATCACTGTCCTAGAATCAGACACCATGCCCAGCTGTGCCCCCAGCCCCGGGAGCTCCCCAAACATAGGGTGTCTGCTCTCTGCACAGACCCCTCCTCAGAGGCCCCAGCTATGGCCTGTGAGGACCAGGAAACCATGGCAACACCATCCTCCCAGGCCCGGGGGTCCCCAGCCAGGAGCACGGAGGCGGGTGAAGCGCTGGGACAGGCTGTGCACCACAGGCCCTGAGACGCTCCCCGACCTCCTGTGCCCAGGCCACGCTGCCCACCCTCCTGCCACCCAGCTGCCAGTCTGCCCGGGAGCGCTCCCTCGGCCGGGTCAGCTCCTCCCAGCAAGGCCCCCGGGTGTCCCTGAGGCGGCGGAGTGAGCGCGCTGGGCCAGAGGCTGGAAGGAGGGTCCAGCAGCCCAGTGGGAGCCGAGGCCACAGCCTGGCTGGGCACTGCTCCCGAAATAGCCTGGGGGTTTCCATTTTTAGTGTGCGGAGAACAGGGCCGCTCTATGGGAGCAGGAACAAGGCTGCCTCTGTTAGCCGCCCAAGGGGGCGGGGGAGGGGGCAGGGGGAGAGCCGTGAACCCAGCCAAGAGCCCAGGACTGAGGCCGAGACCCGCTTCCCAGGAGCCCCCACCTGTTTCCAGGGGATGGGGGGAGCGTGCCCTCCGCAGGAAGACGGGGTGTGCCCGATGGGGGCTGCTCCGTCCCTCCCGCCCCTCCTGCTCAGGGGCGCCTGGGGCAGAGGGTCCACAGTGAGACCAGCTCCCCCCTTCATTCGCTCACAAACATTTGCTCAGCGCGGTCTGTGTGCCAGGCTCTCCGGCCTCAGGGAGCGGCCACCAAGACACTCCCCGAATGTACAAGCGGGGTGGCCCGGAGGAGGGGCGGGACCAGCACAGC